GATGTTTCTGTGAGGGTATTTTTCAATAAGATTTACATCTAAATGGGTGGACTTGGAGTAAATTAGATTGCCTACCATAACGTGGGTGGGTTCATGCAATCCAATGAAGGTCTGATTAGCCCAAAACCCTTCAGGGAGTAAGCAAGAAGGAATTCTTTAGCAGACCGCCTTTGTACTTGAACTGTAACTTCCAGTTTCCAGAGTTAGGACTTTCAAAGTGTTCCATTAGTGGAGTGAGCTCTCTTTGCAAAGAAATTAACTTCCCACCCATTAAAAATTTCAGGACCATAGAAGGGGTTCCAGCACTGCATGAAAGGATAGATGAGAAACTCCTAATATTCCTTCTTATGCTAAAGTTCTAATATCAATTTTCAACAAGTGTCAACATCAAAAAGGCTTTAAGTAAAAAACTTTTTTAAAACTGTTAAATCAAAAATCCAAATAACCACAGTACCCCAGTTCCTCAATTCTGATTGACATTATACTATGGTAGGTAATTAGAGAAAATAGTAGTTTCACCAGGTACAGTGTTAGATGTTGGGGTACAGTGATGAACAAAAGCAACATGATCTTGGATATTATGGAGTTTATAATCTTGTTGCCATGACTATCACATACTTAAAATGTAATGGAACATGAAATACTGATTTCTTCTTTTTTAACTAAAATGATTTTTTCCTTTTTTTTTTTTTTTTTTTTTTTTTACACTCTAAATAGATATAGTTCACCCCCAAATGCAAGTTTATTTACATGCATTTGGGTTCTGCCCAACATTTATGGCTATACAAACCTGTTAGGCTATGGGCTCTAATTTTAGTAAAGCAAAATAAATATAAATGATATTTCTGAACAAACCTTAGGTATAAAAAGCAATTTTATAATGTCCAATCTAAAGTTTCAATGTGTGATTACCTCATAAATAATTACAATGGGTATTTTTGTACTCAACTTTTTGTTTACATCTGAGATACAGGTGGCTTCATATTGCATCGATAATTTCTTTTGTCATTTCAACTGTTATGGATGTTTATAAATGTATACCTGCAGATAGGCTGACTGGCCCTTTCACACATAGACATATTTGAATATAAAACGTGTATTGATGATATAACTGTAAAAGTCTGGAGAATTGATTAAATAGGGCCAGCATTTTTTTCTAATGACACTTGTAATTGAAAAATATTCTAAATCTAAGCCCCTTGCACTGCTGAGCCATGTTAAGTTATGCAGTACTAGGTTATATTCCTTTTGGCATTGGATAATGTAATAGTCTTTAATTTTCATGTATGTTTCAGATATGGATACACTTCAAGGTATCACAAAACTGTCCATAATTCAGGATCTGTATTGCAAATGTGTTCTGTAGATAGTATTTGTGATGGTCATTAAAAGGTAAACATTTATAACATTCACTGTACCAAACATGCATTTCTTATCCAAATGTTAAAAATTATTGGCATCAATTTGAAGAACTGAAGTACGTTATCTAAAATTTGCACCAGCAACTTTCTGGAATATGTCTTGAAGCAACTTCTGTTTACAGACAATGTCTGTAAGATCTCCAAATACCACTGTGATGTGTTTACAGTTTATAAAAGAATTAAATATCAAGCCCTTTTGGGTGTATATTTCTAAATGAGCATTAAATGAATTGGGGGGAAAAGTAAAAAAAATATATATATATATCTAGTATATGCCAATCAAATGATGGTATTCATCTTCCCTTTGCAGCTCACTTTTGGCTGATAAGGCACTTACTCTAATGGTTAGTATGGTCATTGCTGGGAATTAGTTTATATTTTGTAAATGGATTTCACCTGGTAATGTCATTTCTATGCAATCAACTGTATCATCTTGGGCCTATGAGCAATGATGCTAAACTACTGACAGATGGAGAATTTTGAAATCAGTTCCAACTAATTCTGACAGCCATCACTTCCCACCACTCTTAGTTAAAAATTAACTTCCAATAGTGGAAAAGGAAGATGATGAAACCGACCCAATACCTACAAAAGATGTTTAATATCACGAATTTTTATCCATCATTTCTTTTTTTGGGAGGAAGAATGAGTCGATCTAGGGAGTTATAATGATTACTAAATAAAACCAAAAGTTCATTAGGCTTTACTTCCTACAAAATTAAACTCATAGTCATGAGGAAGCAGACTCCCAGGGAAAATTACTGTTAAAGAATTGAAAGTATTGTGTCGGTCTAAAAGAAGCACTGAAATTCACCTGCACAGTTTATCTAGTTCAATTAGTTCTCAAGGCTTCCCAGAGTCAAAATCATCAAAGTATTTAAAGTATTTAAGAGAGTATCTTTGGCTGAATGGGTGCCACTAAATGATAATTAGGCTTTAAAACAAACAAACAAAAAGGTAAGCAAACAGGAAGCCTCCTATTATAGGTTTTGAAGGCGAGATGATGGACCTTGGACCTTTAGTAGTATAGTGCTCAGTTGCTTGAATTATTTTACTCTAGTGGGGAAGTCTCAGGATGGCGTTATCAAATCAACAGTCAAATGAATGACTTTGGCAGAATTAAGAAAGTACATAATTGTCATGGGGAAGAAGAGGAGGAAATAATAAAAGACATACTGTTATTTTGAAATAGTTACAGGAAAAGAAAATGGGAAAGGGAATGTGTGCAGAGGTCGGTGCATTAGAAAGTATTCCTACACCCTGCTTGTTTGGCTCAGTGGGTAGAGTGTCAGTCTGGACTGAAGGGTCCCAGGTTCCATTCTGGTTAAGGGCACATGCTTGGGTTATAGGCTTGATCCCCAGTTTGAAGGGTGGTAGGGGAGAGGGGCGTCTGAAGGAGGCAGCCAATTAATTATTCTCTCTCATCATTGATGTTTCTACCTCTCTCCATTCCTCTCTGAAATCAATAAAAATGTATTTTAAATAAAAAGTACTTTTAACATTTCGTTTTTGAGAAGTAGCATTCTATGGGGTTAAGAAATGGGGCTTAGGACTAATATCTTTGCCCAAAATCCTGCTCATAGAACTGTTTTCCTGTCATGTTACTAATCTTAATTATACCAGACATCTTTTAATCTTCCATCTGTTTGAAAGCATGAGAATAAACTTAAAAAAAAAAAAAAGTATGACTCCTGGCTTATTTTATCTCATATAGTATGCTTTAGGCACACACACACACACACACACACACACACACACACACACACACACGTCACAGAAATATATTAGAACTAACCTTTCCTGACAGCTCTTAACTTGATGAACTAGTCCCTATAGTGGCTGTTATGCAGAACTTGCCATTTGCAAAGCTTGAGTGGTTTGTTAAATGATGTTCACTCTGAGAAGTATGGACTATCTGTCAACTACTGCCTTTTGGGGGAAGTTACAGTAGAGAAAGAACTTAGTACTCTACATATGTATTTCACAAACAAATGTCTTGTGCTGATTGCTGAAACACAAGATTATATTTGACTTCAGTTGACAACTTACGAGCAAGTTGTAAATATCCAACAAATAATGTGTTATTGTGATTGTAAACACAAAACAGTCCTTTAAAAAGCAATCCATAGGATTGTAAATACTTTCAGTAACACTGAAGACTTTTATTAATACTTTACTAATAAGAATGTAAACTGCTTTTCGATATAAACAATATGAATTAAATATAATTTACTCATAATTATAAAATGCATAGACTAAACTTTTTCCCAAATAAATTAGCAAATCACAGGTGACCATGGGAATGGAATTCGTTTTCTATAGGGGATACTTTTTGTATAGTTATGCACATGCAGAGTATTAGCCCACTGTAGATGGAGGAAGTGTATAGTATAGGAATAGCAACAACTCTTTATAGCAACCTTAATGCAAAATCCCAACTCTGCCACTGTCTAGTTGTGAGATCTTTGGCATATTACTTAATTTTGCCAAGTCTTTTTCTTCATTGCTAAGTAAAAAAAAAAATAAATAAACTATCATATGAAATACTCATGGCTAGATCAGATTTTTTTTTTTTTTTTTTTTTTTTTTTTTAGAAAGACAACACAGTTCATGTACTGTCTTATATATCACCACCAGTGGGGTTTAGGACAACACCTGGTAATGACATTTCTGAGGTAAAACCTTTGAATGTTGCTTTGATGGGACAGTCCGAGGCCATATAAAGTTAAAAGCACATTTAACCAAATATTTGTTGTATCCAGGAGATAAATAAGCCAAGCAATGCAGGGGAACAGGGAGATATAATTAAGCCGTAGCTCCATGTACTCCCTATGGTACTAAAAGGAATAATTAAAACATCTTTTCTTTATCATTAAAGGAACTATGGGATTCTTTTTATCCCTTGATTCTAGTGCCATATACTTGATTTAATTTGAAATACAAATCTACAAAGTTCACATTTTATATGCTATAGTTCAAAGTGTGTAAGGGGTAGTAACGAGACACAAAAGCATACATTATAAAACCTATGACTTTAATATACTAAGTAGTATGGAACAATATTAGTATTTTATTCACAAAGACTATTTAAATAATATTTACAACGTCTTTATGGGAACATATATGTACATTTGAACATCAAAACATGTTTGCAAAGAAAAGTCACATATATGATTAAAATAATGTAAGACCAAATATATCCTGGGCCATAATTTTATCACTACTAAATTCTCCTGATTTTCAAAAAGCAGTAATGATAGTTAACTCACTATTGTTTTCTTAAAATTACCTAATCAACCTGCTGCAGAATAGAAAAAATGAGCTACCACCGATTTTAAAAGGTAGCCAATATTTTAGAAACTTAAAACAACCCTTTTTGTTAAATTTTTTTAGTTCCTTAGAATACAAAAGAACAAAAGTGAAGGAATTTCATTTTCTTCTTGCTGAAGCTATTTTGGTAAAGTTAGTTTTAAGCTGGTCTTCTTAAAAAAACTTTAAGTACGTTTCTGCAAGGGTGCTGGTAACAAACCCTCTTAAAAGCAGAGCTGTCCATTTAATGTCTGTTGATTTTGAAGTGATTTATCTTAGATTTCCTTTTGAAATGTTTCTTCCAAACTTTCTGACCATGTTTGGCTTTGCTTTATGGATGTTTCTTTTATATTCTAGAGAAGAAATAAAAAAATTTAGAAATATGGTAAAAGCATCATTCAAAAAGAATAGTCACCATTCACTCTACTTTTAGAAATCAATTTCTCCATATTGCAAACTGAAGTTGAAGTGAATTATCCTCAATGACAAATCATTCTTTAACCTAGCTTTTGCTCTTCTTTTTTCTTTGGCAAGCACTGTACTTTTTACTCCATAGCATATATTTTTTAATTCATCTTTTTTTATTCATGAAATACTTGATAACCTAATAGATTATTTTCCATTATTAGAAAATAAGCATATTAGAAAACCCAATTTATCTTTGACGATTATCACAAACATCATTTTGTTGCAGAATTATGATTTTCTGGAGAATTTTTTTTTAAGGATCCATGGGGCAGCACATTTCTACACCAACTGCCATGTACACACTGCTAAGCATTATTAAATATGGCATGATAAACCAAATAAAAACAGTAAATTTTATTTTATTGAGTTTTAAATTTGCATAAAAGGTATTTCCATTGAACTTAAGGTAAACAACTCTCACTGGCTACCACAAGAAGTAAGGATGTACTAATGCAGTTTGGCAAAGCTATTGAGAAATGTAACATTACTGAGATGAAAGAGCAATAGTTTTCATGTTTTCTTAGAAACACTTATCTCATGAAACCCCTTTAAATTCCAAATGCTAGGATTTTAAGTTCCTTTAGAGAAGAACCAAACTGGTTCTTAATGATGTTTGTATCCATCACAGAACCTAGCACATAGTGGGTGTAAACACATACTTCCTGAAGAAGTCTAGGAACTGGAATGCTAGGGAAACAGAAGCCTGGACTCCAAGGCGGAGAAACTAAGTGGCACTATCTCTTCTGGTTTTACTGAGGATGTGGTTCTGTTGACATGGACTCCTGTCACCCGCAAATGTAGTTGAGAGGATGTATTCAGCACATCAGCATCTTTTTCAACCTGCTAACGGGAGTTACAACATGAATATAACTAGGTATTGGAGCCTGGCTGTAATTGCACAAGTGAGTCTGAGGCCAGATGATCAAGAATAAGAGGGTAATGGAAAAATTTCAAGTAGATATAGTTCATCTATAAAATATATTTAATCACAACCTATTAAACAACACCTTTCGCTAAAAATTTCAATTAATTAGTTTATTTATTAATTCTTCTACCATGTGAAGCAGTATAGAAAACTAGAGAGATGCAGACTATAGATTTAGAGATACGGTTCTGAGTTCTGGCTCTATCATGAAGTATCTGTGCAGTACTAGCTTAGTGTTTTCTATTTTGTGTCTTAAGTTTTCTCATTTGCAACATAGTCATACTTACCATGTAATAAAGGTAATGAGTAGATAAAAGGAGATTCTTATGAAAACACCACAGTACTATACATGTATTTGGTAAGTATGTTATTAAATATCAAAATAAGAGCTCAAACATACCCACTGCCGGTCCGTTTTCTTGTAAGTGCTTATCGCTCGAATTATCTTGTCGAACACGTTTGGCAAATCCAGAATTTTCCTCAGCTGTTAAAGTATTTGCTGCAGAACTTGAGAGAAGAATTTTTTATTTTAGTGAAGCATGTTTTATGTCTCCAAGTTTTAATACATATTCTACATGTATAAAGACTAAAGATAAAGTAAAATACTAGAGTATTAAGTTGTAAAATCCCATAGAAGTAATTGGAGGTGCTAAATACATCTTTGGCCCACGGAGAAATATAGCTGTGTGATTTTTAATAATTTTTATTCGAATCAGAGATTTTGAGTGTAGGTGCATGAAACAATTCTGTTAGCAGAACACTTCCAGGGGTTCTGATGGAATATCAGCAAGCTCTGTTATCCAAAATGTAGGGTCAGGAGCACACTGAGAGTGAAAAACCAGGCTTATATTACAAATCTGGTGCAAGAATCATAATCTGGGGAATATAAACAAGATTGTCTGGAAACCTTGTTTTAAAATCAGACTGAGTCTCTCTGATTAGAGCAATTATAGAAACTGAAATGAATGGATCTACTTTCATTTGTTTAATCTTCAAAAATTTATATTAATCTCACATTATTAATGGGTTAAATTTCTAACTTGATTTGAATGGACATATTATACACCCATTATGGACTCATGTATTAGGATATACAAATAAGTAAGGCATAGACAACTCCTGTCTTGAAAACTAATGCAATGGATTTATGATGGGGATATGGCAACAATGTGATCTTCTGGCGAGCCTAATCATGTGGTAAACTGATGTGGCTGGATGTTTATGGAATAGGCAGAAGATGGGCTCCTTATATGATCATTTAAAGTAGTCAGAAATGGCAATTTAATATGACAGAAAAAAAAAGAGGCATGAACACACTGAACGCTTGGGAAAATAACTCAACCTATGTACCTTATTCAGTCTGGAAGAGAGATAATTATAGTGTTCCTAAGAGTGACTGTGCCTACTCTGTTCAAGAATGCAAATAACACCTAGCCGAAAGGTTAAAAACAGGTACTAGTGTTATGCAAGTAAAGCCAATCAGTTGTAGAAATACTATATTCCTAAATGGTGTTAAATAAACTAAGACAATATAATTCCATAAAAATATACTAAACACCCTTTTCTGATAATATGCATATTGTCATTTTGTCTAAGGCAAAAATTCTGTTTTGGTCATTTGGTGATTTTATTTCTTAAAGTATCAAGATCAGCGTCATTGGTTAATTTTGACAAGTGTTGTTTTTCCTTACAATTTACTTATCTTAAAATTAATTTATCATTTTGTGGATTCTTAACTTTGGCTAGTTTTAGGATCTTTGAATTTTACTTACAGATTTTTACTTGAAAAATTAAGCTTTTGAATAAAATTATCTGAATAAAACTCATATTTAGAATAAAATTAAAGCCTAATAAGATAAATTATATATTTACGTATAAGTAAAATATACTAAAACATTAAATGGATTTAGAGAAAATAGTCCATTGATTAAATGTTTAACATTTATGTTATAAAATTATGTCACATCATTAAATTAAAAAAGAAAACACACCTAAAATTAGTATATGATTCCAAATTCAAATTATGGTAGAGACCACATTGAGAAGAAAGCTAAAGATCCTCCTAGTTGTGTGCCTGATATATTTCCACACTATTAATAAAAATTAGGGCCCTGGCTAGTGCGGCTCATTTGGTTGGAGCATCATCCTGTGCACCAAAAGGTGGCATCTTTGATTCCCAGTCAGGGCACATATATACCCATGTTGTGGGTTTGAACCCCACCCCCCTACAGGGTATATGTAGGAGGCAACTGATCAATGTTTCTCTCTCTCCCTTCCCCTCTCTTTAAAAAAATCAAATGTCTTTGGGTGAGGGTAAACAAGTTAGGATTTAACTGTTTTTCTCTTACATAGGAAGAATGCTATAGCATCTCATATTCTTTCAGCTGAGATAATTTCTAGTTGAAGTTATTAGACATCTTTCCAAATAAACCAAAAATGTATGGAAAGGTGTGAGACCATTTCAGGATGCTGAGAAAGATTGCAAAACAAACAAACAAAACAACCAATCAAAGAAACACAAAGCAAACAAAACACAAAAACTCTAATTTAATTTATAAGTAAAATGTTACATATGTATGTTTTGTATTTATGTTTTTGGTAGACTGATTTAGTTAAAACAGTCTGCTACTGTGATATTAAATAAATTGAAATGGTTAAAAATTTAATATTCTCATTTAACTAATGACTAAAAAATCCAGGTTGGTAGGTTTTGTTTTTTTTTTTAAAAAATTCAGTGTTTTTGGACTATGTTTTTTTTCAGAGAGAAAAACTGATACTCAAAAAATAAAATAACTATATACATGGATCCCTTTCTTTTTCACCTTCAAAAATCGTATTAGAATACAAACACACCTAAACATGTACATAAAAGCTGCTAAATGGAAAATACCAGAGTTTATTACTTTCAAGCTCATGTAGATTTAATTGGAGAAAAAGAAGAAAAAAAAGGTAATTATGTACATTTCTACCATTAATCTCTTTTAACCATAGTTAATGGCAGGATCTAATTACTGATACCAGAGGGAATGTAATAGAGCAATTAATAGGCTATGAGAAATCTTACTTTCTTTATGAGTTCTTTAATATTATTTCATAATATTAGTTGCTCATGTGGGAGGTTGGTACCATCTAAAACCACTCCAAATACACATTACATACCTGGACTTTTGATTTTGATAATGACTATGTTTACAGTTTAAAAATATTCTTAGCTATAAACTTTTACCGCATCTAAATTAACACAACAGAGGATGCTACTAGCGAAGAACAAGTCACCAACATTAATTAATTGAAATAACACAATCAACACAATGAAAATTAGTGATCAGATGGATGAAAACAAATTAGTCACTGATGAAGGTGAATGATTCCCATACATGAGCCAGACAAATTGCACAATTCAAATTTGTGCCATAGCAAAATGCAAAATTTAAAACATCATGGATAGACATTCAGAAAAAACCAATCCATGATATTCCAAAGGCCTGTTGTACTTTGATTGGAAAGAAAAGGGTACATACTAAATGAACCAATGAGATGATACTCTATGGGTGACAAATCAAGAGACTTTTTGTAAATCTGTTTACATTAGCCCAGATGAGACTAGGTTCATGGTGGAAAATAAGAAACTTAAAAAGTTTAAGTTTAAGATCTTACACTCTTTTCCTCACAACCACATGTCAAAATAAAAGGGAAAAAGTCAGCCAGACCCATTTTAAAAATACAACTATCTCATCACTGCATTTAATGTTGCAGGATATAAAGACTATATAAAATAGACTTCATTTCATATAACTCAGTGTATTTAAAATTTTTTTCTTTGCCTTTGATTTTTAGCTATTTTACTGCTATGTACACAGGTATATTTTTCTTTATACGAGTGCTGCTTGTGGTTTGCAATGGTTCTTAAATCTGTGAATTATCTTTTGTCAGTTATGGAAAATTATTAGTCAACATACTCTCAAAATACCAGTTTCCACCATTCTTTTTCTTCTTTCTGGGACTTAAAAAATACAAACAGGTGTCCCTTATTTTATTTTCCTTGTATCCTAAAATTTTCCTTGTGCTCCACATTTCTTTCAGTTTTCTCTATATTCTCTATCCTTTTGTACATATGTTGGGCTTTTTTTTTTTTTTTCTATCAGTCTATCTTCTGGTTCAATAAACTCTCTTCTGCTGTGCCTAATCTGTTAAAACAGTTTACCGAGTTCTTAATCTCAATAATTCTATTTATTCAGTTCTAGAGTACACATTTGATTAATTTTTAATAGAATATAGTTCTTTGGAAAATTATCATCTATTTTGTTCAACATTTTGTTAATCACAGTTTAAATTTTAAAGTTCCCTATCTGATAATCTCAGAATCTGCATCACTACGGATCACTGCCTCTCTAATTTTACTTCTCTTGATTTTCAGTCATTTGGTCCTGGCGTCTCCTGGCATACTTCGTAATTTTTGCTTAAGTACTAACCATGGTATAGGAAAAACCATAATTTTCTTCTGGCAAGCAGGCAGAATAGATCATCTTACTCCAAAAAGGGACTGAGCTGGTGTAAGGTCTGTTTTAGGCTTTTAAGAATGGGTCTATTCTAGTTTGCCCTACTCTTGGACCACAGACCTTCAGAGATCTCAAATAAAATACTGGTGTCTAACAGCTCTTTCTCCATGATGATTCTGGAACAAGAATTCTTGTGTCCTAGACTCTTAAGAATGTCCAAACTCTGCTTAATATGTTAGTCTCTCAGCAGCTACCTTCAACTTGGTTTCCTGAACTCTTACTCCACAGAGTTTAGAACTTGGCAAATAAATATCTGGAGGGCAAAGCTACACACAAGGATTCTGTATCTCTAGGGCAGGGAGATGGCTGATAGTTTATAGGCTCCCATTTTATGCTTGGCCTCCACATAATGCCACAAATTGTGAAGTGCTAAAAGGAAGAGGCAGAGAAGGTCAGGCTCCCTACAGCTTATTTTCCTTTTCTCTGGGATCTGAAACACTCAAATCCTGGCTGCCTTGGTTATTCTTCAGTGCCAGTGAAGCAGCTACTGGTTGTATTTTATCAACTTTTATAATGTTTTTTTGATGGGTATCTTGGATTGATACAAGCTACAGTGTCATAGCCAGAAACAGAAGTCTCTTTACTCATTATATTTCAGCCATATATTAAAACCCATTAAAATAATGTAATTTCAGATCATAATAAATTTGGTAATGTCTAAAAGAAAAAATACCAAATGAATAAAAATTGTACCAAAAGTTAAAATTAAATGACATTTTTGAAGGCCAGAGACTTTAAAATTAATTTTTAATAATCTGAAACACGGAATACTTTATGCAAATGTCAAGTGAAATACTTGGCTTTATTAAGATCTCCCTTTAATAATATAAATCCAGTGTTGCATTCTGAGAAATTTATTATATAGATATGCTTAAATATGAATTAACGGTTTAATCATAAGAAATAAATAAGAACTGGAGGAAACAAAGGATAAAGGTGATCTTTTGTAAATATGAAGTCTGAGCCAGCTCCTGTTCAATCGTACCTTGCTAATTTCCGTTTCCTTTTGGCAGCAGCGGTCATGGCCATGTAGGATGGTACTATGCTTTGTACAGGCAGAGGATGTTTCGCTGAGAATGAGGAAGGGGCAAGCCTGTATATCAACAAAAAATAAAAAGCAATTTGATTTGTACTACGGAGTGGGGCCATCCACTTATGTAACTGGAATACCATTTCATATTACTTTAAAGAGGAAAATATTATACTATAAAATTTCCCTTGCTTACTCTGGGATTTTCTTGTCTCCCTTTTACACCATATTCAGATTTCTGCATTCTGAACAGCAGGAAAAGGTGAAGGTGTCATTCTCCCCATATTTAGATTAGTTGTGATAATACAGATGAAATGAGAAGGGTATGTGTGCTTGGATGACGTGTAGTCAACCATACCTTAGACCCGTGGTCGGCAAACTGCGGCTTGAGAGCCACATGTGGCTCTTTGGTCCCTTGAGTGTGGCTCTTCCTCAAAATACCACGGCCTGGGCAAGTCTATTTTGAAGAAGTGGTGTTAGAAGAAGTTTAAGTTTAAAAAATTTGGCTCTCTAAGGAAATTTCAATCATTGTACTGTTGATATTTGGCTCTGGTGACTAATGAGTTTGCCGACCACTGATTTAAGATATTAAATTAAAGACTTTAAAATAGACATATGAAATACACTTCAAATATAGCTAAAGGGGGGAAAAAAGCTAATAGTTTAAAGGCTATCAAAAAAAGGAAAAAAGTCAACAAGTACTCTTTTTCTGTACCTTTGTACAATGTTATTATCTGATACCGATTGTTGCTCAGGTAATTTGCTGTTCAATCTCCTGGTGTCGTCACATATAGTAAACATAGAGTCCAAATCCTCCTGTTTATGTTCTTTTCTCCTGATGACCGGGAGATTTACTTCACATGACATTTTCAGAGAATTCTCACTGTATATATTTGAGCCGATGGCCTGACAACTTGTAGTACAAGATGGTTTTAATAAGGTCACTGTAGATGGATTTTGCAAAGGGTTTCTGCAGCCTTCTGGGGTATACACAATAGGCTGAAGTTCTTGGCTGAAAGAATCATTGAGCTGTATACTTGCAGACAGTGCAGACTTTTGGGTAGGTTCTGTTTTTAAGGGAGAAGACATTAGTTTTCTTCGAGTTCTTTTTTGTGAAGGACTGTTAAGAAGATTAGATTCACTTGAAGAGGTGCCTGTTCAACAAAATTAAAAAGAATCTCAATAATGTTTCCCAAATATTTTTTAAAATTATATTTATTAAAGCGACACTGGTTAATAAGATTATATAGGTTTCAAGTGTATGTTTCTATGATATGTAATCTGTATATTTCATTGTGTAAAGTTTTCCAATAATTTCATTAGTTAAAAAAGAAAATATGACCAAGCCCTGACTGGATGGCTCAGATGGTTGGAGTGTTGTCCCATACTCTAAAAGGTTATAGGTTCGATTCCCAGTAAAGTCATATACAGAAGGCAACTGATCTCTCTCTCTCTCTCTCTCTCTCTCTCTCTCTCTCTCTCTCTCTCTGTCAATAAAGACATATTCTTGTGAGGATTAAAACAAAACAAAACACTGATAATAAAGCACATTTCCTGCCAAATCATAAAAATTTAAAAGAAAATAAGTTGGGAAGGGAAAAAAAATCATTTATTGCTAATAACTTTATAGAGATTCTATTACAGAAAATAAATAACATATGGCTAATATAAATATTATTTCATAGATATAGCTATCTTGAAATATTGAATAATCATGAAAACAAATTTCCAACTAATTTCAATAAAATTCACAAGCAATTCCCAGCTTTCATGTTTGATCTAGGTTTAAGACAACAATAACGTATATAACATTTTTAGGCATTGAATATTATAGCTTGTTCTATGGTAAAAATATCACGTTTATTACTAATTGAGTGAATGTCTACTCTAAAGCAAAGAGACTGACAATAATCAATGAAGTCCAAGGTGAATGAATGTACTGTATCTGTAACTATACCACCTAGTAATTAATTAAGCATTCTGGTGGCTTATTTCCTGTATCATAATAATTCACAGGCTTGCAAAAATTAGATTAATAGCAAAGATAAATAAATTTACTTTGAAGAGTTCACAGTACTCTTATTTGACCTTTATCACTCTGTAAAAGCAAGCCTCCCAAATGTCAGGAAGTATTAAGTTTAATAAACTTTTCTAGGCCCTAATCCTGCAACTTCTGTAGCTTTTCAAAATAATTTCCCTACTACTTCTCCAGCATGTGTTACTTTCTGTTTCCTCCATCCAGTAAATGTATACATTTCCCCAGGGATATGTACTTGACCCTCTAGTTTTCTTATTCTATATTCCCTTATTTGTAATTATCCTCTTGCCACTACCTTCTCAGTTACCTGGGTCTCAAATAACAAGATATATACCTTTTCCTTGCATTTTCCAATCTCCACCAATCCCACCTCTCTTACACTTACACATAATTCTGACCATGTGATTCTTCTAATTAAGCACTTATAGTAATCTTTAAATAGAAATATAATATACAGAGATTTTTAGTAGGAGAGTTTTTGTTTATTGGTCCAAAATTAAGAGACAAATTGTTTTGTTTAAACTCAGGTGTAAATTTCCACAATACTAGACATGTTTTAATATTTAAGTGCCAGTACATAAACATCTCTCAAGCACCTTTTCTTTTTAATATCAGAGTAATGACCTGGATCAAACATAACAATAAATTGATCAGCTGCAGTGTGCCTATATATCACATTTCTTAACTATTTTTTCTGCTCTGCCTATTTCATTCTGGTGAACTTCATGATGCCACATGAAGTAACTTTGCAGTGTACTGTCCAGGGAAGGAACTATAACGTGCACTTCTGCCCATGTTTTCAAATCATGCAATAAAATTCTCAATTGATGTTATATTTGTTTTATTATATAACATTAACACTGAAAGCTGAATAAAATTAGTGTGATATAGTATTTCAGTAAAGTAATTCAAACTTTCCAAGTTAGAAAATATACTTATAGCAATCACCAATAGTACATGCATTATTCTTTTTATGTTAGTTGACAATAGGCTCTGCTATGGCGAGGTTGACAATTACCCTCTAGGAAATACAATTTAAAAACAGGAAGAAAAATATGATCCCTGTTCTACTAAGAAATTTTACTTTTCTGAGAACTAGATAAATGAGATCCAGATCTTAAAATAATTTTCCACTACCTTTAACATGACATTTGTCAAATTTTCCATTACCAGATATTTTTATACTAATGCTGCAGTATAAAGACAGTTACTTTTCTCCACTGTGCTGCTACCACCAATTTGGTGGCTATTAATAGCTGGAAGATTAACTTCTTTTCCCATGAGAGGCAGCAGGGGTATATAGAGGATAGAAAACTATAGCGAGGATAGAGAACTGAATTGGGAGTCAGGAGACTTGGATTCTATTTCTGGCTTTACCAACAACTCACTGAGTGACCTTGGGCAACTCACTTAAGCGGTGTGGGCATTAATACCCCCCTAAAAAAAGGAGACACTGCCTTTGTATGTACAGAGAATTTTCTAGGATTAGTTAATATCTATAAAATACTTAGGGTCCGAAGAAAGGCTCTAGAAATATAAACAAGCTTCAACCGTTAGCATTAATACTTCACAGGGAAAGTTGTCACTGACTTTCCAGTATTCCATCTATAGCTAAAACTCACAGTTAAAACTTATTTAAAATAATGTCTCCCTTTGAGTTCATCGGGTATCCAGTTTACCAAGGCTGATGATAAACTGAACCATAAACCAAAGGTACTGTTAAAGCAGGCACATGTATTTAACTTCAAACACAATGAACATGAAATCCTAAGAGTCACTGTTTGCTTTCACGTATCTAGGGAGGGAGAATCTATGGAGTGGCCCTGGGCACATTTCCATGACGGTAGACCATTCTTCCCTATTGCTTGTAAAGAGCATGAACATGGGGGTTCTGTCATGGGACACTGAAGAATTATCTACTTGTTCTCTGGGATAATGTAAATGTACACCCAATATCAAATTTTGTTATGATCAGGCTGAGTAGCAATTGTCAGTGAGAGCAACAGTAATGCTACAGAGATATATCTTTAGCTATAATTCTGCTTTCCTGGCAGGAGATAACTTGAAGGAGAAATAGGAAGATGGGAAGTTAATGTGGATTCAAATACTAGTTTTACTGGACATGGAAGAAAAAAAAAATGCTATGGATATACAGCATGTTTAAAATACAAATCCAGACAATTCCTTTATTATTATTTTCTCAGATATTTAATATAGATTAAAAAACAAACAAACAAAAAGAGAACAGAAAACAGATGATCAATCAGGATGGTAGGCTGACTGTTCCTAAGAAAGATTCAGGAGAAAATCAGAGCCCAAACAAGATTTAAAGATGTAAATACAAACTGAACAGTAAATCCACTGTGACTCCACTTATCCACGAAAATGAAAAGAACACAATCAACAACTGATATTTCACTCTGAATATAATACATAAAATGTAATAAATCATTATTCTCCTCTAGCCAGTTAGATAATGGAGCACTTTATGTGGGTATAGCAAGCTGGAGAGTGCCGGGCACTATACATTTCACTGTACATTTTAATAAACTCTGAGAACCATCTAATATGCTAGCTCAAAGTCCATAAAAGAGACTAGCTGTATTTTTCCATAGAGGATATACAGTAACTTTCCAGAAGAACAGGCGTGGGGCAGTTGTAGTTTCCCTTGATGAAGCCTGGGAAAATATTATCTAACAAGATTCTGTAATTCTTGTGTCTGTAAAGTGGAAATGATAAAGGAGGAACCTGGAGGCTGATTATAGTGCCTTTAAATGAGAAAAGAAATCATAGTTACAACTTTCAGAACAAGGGAGTCCAAGAGATGACTATTATTCTCAAAGTGCAAAATGATTTTATTGAGCTGCAGGGAAAGAGAGAAGGCTGGCGTGAATGAGGTGCGGTGAGTTCGAGGGAGAGGAGAAAGGAGAGGCAGATATGCAGTGTTAGGGTTTGTGGACAAGATGAGGCCTTGGATTTGTGGTTGTTTTTTTTTTAATTAAAAAAAATATTTTATTGATTTACAGAGAAGAAGGAAGAGGGATAGAAAGTTAGAAACATCTATCAGCTGCCTCCTGCACATCACCCACTGGGGATGTGCCCATAACCAAGAACTGAACCTGGGACCCTTCAGTCCGCAGGCTGACGCTCTATCCACTGAGCCAAACCAGATTTATGTTCTTAAAAACCTTGCTCTGCTTATTGTGTGGGGAACAGGCTATGAATGGGCAAGAGAGAAAACAGAGAAATCAGTAATAAGGCTATTGCTATAGCTTGGGCAAGAACTAACAAGAGCTTGGGCTAGTGAGGCAGAAGTAATGGAGAGAGGTGGAAAGGGTACTTTAATAAAAAACTATATAAAGTAAATCCAGAACATATCCAGTGACATACACATGCTAGAGGCCTGGTGCACGAAATTTGTGCACAGGCAGGGGGTGGATCCCTCAGCCCGACCTGCACCCACTCCAATTCAGGAGCCCTCAGGGAATGTCCAACTGATGGCTCAGGGCCGTTCCCCATGATTCTCTGCTCTCTGTGGGGCCTGCCTGCTCCACACCATGGTGATGGCCAAACAGGCCCTGCTAGGTGCTGGCTGTGGGCCGCGCTTGCCTGCTCCTGGATTGCCCTGGCGACGGTTAAACAGGCCCTGCTGCCTGCAGTCAAACTGCATGGCTGCCCTCGCCTCCTGGGGCTGGCAATGGTCCCAGGAGCCTGTGGGCATGGTGCCTGTACCTGGAACTTCGGAACTCAAGCCGCTTGAAGCCACCCCGCCCCTGGCCGCTTGGTACCTGGGTATGCAAATTAAACCGCCATATTTTTCTGGTTAATTTGCATACTCACTCCTGATTGTCTGGTGGGTGTCGTGAAGGTAAGGCCAATTTGCATCTTTCTCTTTTATTAGTGTAGATCTGAGTAGTGGCCTAACAATCAGGATTAAAGATAAGAAGAAGGAAGTCCACACAAAAGAGTAGTGTTTATTAATTTTACACAACACAAACAACAGAAATTGACCACTTTCCATGAAATCATGAACCATTTCCACAATGCATAATTGCAAAAGTTCTAAAGGTCCTAAATGTCATTTCTTTAAAATTGGCATTCTTGTTAATGAAACCC